GTAATTTGTCAATCACAAGGAGTTGTGATTATGAGATACAAATTTCATATGATTGAATTTTAAATCGTTCGTGGTCGTAAGTAATAACTAGATACGAAAATCGTTATTACGGATAAATCATCACGTGTGGCATTCTTTACTTGTAAAGTAAGTAGCTGATCTCACAGCTAAAGTATGGTAACACATAAATGAACATGTTGATATTTTGTTATGGAACAAAATGTTGGAAACTCGTCGAGAGATTCCACATGGATAACTATTTGAGTGTCATTGGTTAATCTCTGACGTTCGGTAGTAGAATTGGTCCTTTCACTTGATGTCGTCATAATGCCTTATATGAGGACGGTCATGCTTTGACGGTGTTGGATATTGCTCTTCCAATGGCTGCTAATACGACATCGTTCGAGTATGTCAAGAATCGTATGAAAATTATGAATGATCAATAGATGATTCGTCACTTTTAGATAGTAAGAGATTATGATCTACATTTCATTTAATTAAGTCGATAACGAAATCCTTAACCAAGTTGGTCAAAAAGAAGTTTTCGACTTATATTAACTTAATAATAGAATGAAAAATATGATCGATAATCGAGATTGACACATTTCCGTATCTCGTAATTGATCGGATCATATTAACGAAGGGATTATAGTTTCATGGTAAACAAACAAGTTTGATTTTGTCATACCACGTGACATTTTCCGTTATATGTACTGCCCTAACACATTGCTAAATGTCAATTTGGAACAGTGAGTGTGAAATTGTGATAAATTAAAATGGTGATTTAATTTGTCAATTTTAATTAGATCAAAATAATATTTTACGTTGTTAGGTATCGTGATCAGGAACCTGATAGGTCGCACACAAAATAAGAACAGGAAGATTGTGATTTGTCAATTAATTAATTTAACAAGCGTTGAATAAATTGATAATTGAGTTGCTTATTTATAGACCCGAACTAATTAATTGGGTTAATTAATTTATGGACCGAATTTAATTAAATTGATTAATTAAATATTGGATCGGGTCAGGTCAAACCCGTTTGGACTTATATAAATATGACTATAATTTACAAAATCTGTAGAGAATTCATTTCTTGCTAGCAAAAGAAAAAAAACATAATCCTATAATCTTATTCTCTGTGTGGATCACCGTTGGAGGCTAGACAATTGGACAACTGTGGGTGGTAGATCAAGGTTGCTGGAACGAAAGAATAGCAAAGGAGTTTGCAGATCTCTAAAAGGTACAATTTCTATCACGGCTTTCATCTAAACACAAAGATGAATCTCGCTGAGAATGGAAATCCGTTTTTATTTTTGCTGCGCATGATAATTAGATTTCCAACACAGCCCACACCCAAATCAGCCATTCTGCAAACAGTAGGACCAACAAATTGCTATTCATTGTGAGTAGGGGTGGACCCAATATTCTCTTCTTTTTTTCATCATAAATAACACAAATATGCAAGGCAACAACAATTCAATAATTTATATTTAAAAATTAACATTATCACTAGTTATTAGTAAATAAATGAAAAAATTAGTGACGTGGTGGCAAACAATGTACTTAGTAATGGTGCAATAGCGTGAAATATAGTATGCAATTCGAAGAACTAGCAAGTTTGAAGTGACGAGCATGAATCTAAATATTAACAAAAAATAAATATAAAACAAATGCATTCAAACATAATTTGTGAAAAAATGCAATTGATTAAGCAAATAACAGCATTATAAATAAAAAACCAGCCTACAAATCGTACTAAAAAATTTAATGAAAATGATTAAATTTTGCAAGTTACGAAAAAACAATAAAAGGGAAACATTTTTTAAATCAATCCATGTATATGTCAGCATTATTCACCCTTGGTAAATATAGAAATGAATATCAAAAGCCCCCCGGGGCACTTCTCCACTGGCAAAGGACGGGTTCTCTCAAAGCTGGTAGATCAAAGGTCATGGATTCGATTCTTGGGGCTCTTGGAAGGCAAGCCACATACTGGAAGACAGGATTTATCCTGGAAGGCAGGAGTGTCTTGGAAGGCAAGGCGCAATATGTGTTGGCTCACTAGGTACTTTGGCAGTCCAGTTGAAGAGGTGTTCGGACCCTGGTCAATTGGAGGCACATCCCGCGATTTAATTGGTCTGTGTGAAGAGGGGTCTGTGTGATAAAAAAAAAAAAATGAATGTCAAAAATATTATTCAAGATGCTTGTATAATCATACAAATATGGTGTTTTTTTTTTTTTTCCTTTTCCAACCTAGCAGTTAAAATTTAAACACCATCTACCATTGTGAATTAAAAACTAAAAAATACAAAATCATGAAATTTTTTTTATTATAAATGGATATTTAGCCCGGTCGAACCCCTTCCCTATCATTCACAATGTCATTGCCTGTACTTGGTTGCCATAACACTTCTCCTTCCCATTGTTTTCTCTAATAAACCCTGCATTTTACTATTAAGCCTTGCAATATAGATATATTCAAGGCTTATGGGCATATACAGCAAGTGGGATTGTGTTGAGCCTATACAATGATTATGGGCTTAAATCACAAAAGAGTTTGCATTTGGTGCAAGAGGCCCTCGGCTGAATGGGCTTACCAAAGCAAGATCTTAAGCTAGTCAGTATAAATATGTCCATCCCATTATAAACTAATATCTAATATCATATGGTTAAAAAAAAAAAAAAAAACTTTCGTAAATCAAGTATTAAGTGAATGTGACCTCTGATAAATGTTCGCACAAGGTCAAAGTCACATACCAGACAATTTATGAATCATAGTCACTTACTAAGTCACAAATTACACAATTTATAGGTTACGATCATTTATCCAAACGTGGTTATAGAAAATTTATGGAATGCTGCTACTATTGGTGCATAGTCGATGATGTATCAATCTTTGCCTTCTAATTGCATTCATTTCTCTCTCTAAAATTCATGATCGTAATCTGATTCTCACATTATCTGTCTCTAAAATGAATCGATTGAAATGGATGAATGAGAGAGAGAGAGAGTTGGGGATGAAAATTTAAAGACATAGTCGGAGAGAAGCTTTGAAGTTCAAACTTCAACGTATGTGATTCATCTCTAAAGGGTAATTTTTTGTAAAAAAATTAAAAAAAATTTTGATGTAATGTCAAAATTAAAAGGTCAAAAAAAGATAAAATTAAAAGGTCAAAAAAATTACGGACAAGTGGGATGTAATGTTGTGTGGTGTGGTGTGGTGTGTTGGTTATACTTTATTTTTTTCTAAAATAAAAAATAATTTATACCTAATTAATGATATTAAAACTTAAAAACATAATTTTAAGGTAATTTTGTAAAATAATAGACTTCCCCAAAACATGTCTTAATACAAAGTAATAAATTTATTATGATTATGCTACTCCATAAAAATATTCTAAAATATGCACGTCTAGATTTAGGTGCAAAAAAAGAAGAAAAATCTGGAGTATTAACTCTCTCAATATTTTCTTCTTTTATTTCATTATTCTCTTTAGTTTATAACACGTTATTAGTACAAATTTTTAAATTCATTTTCCAAATTGGTATACTATAGATGGTCACACATGTTTATTATACAATAAAAACTAGTGTCTGCGAGATTATTTGTTTAATAACTCAATTACGAATATAGTTTTCATATTAAATAATTAAGATAAGTAGTCTTAGTATTGCTAGTGATTTTACATCACAAAAAATGTGTAATGATTATTAATGGGGATAGTGACGAAACATCTTATTGCATATAACTTAGTAGTATGTTTATTAAATGTCTTTAATTAATTGTTAAATTGTTACTTTTGAGAGTAAAATACTTCTTATCTTGTTTCCCATTTTTGTAAAAATGAGAATGAAAAATATAGCCGTTATGAGCCCCACACAATAAATAAAAATTCAAATTTGGTAGCTTGATGTGATGGATAACGATCATATTTTTCACTTTAATGAGGAAATAATGTGAAACAAACAAGGGCTTAGAGAATGCTATTTTACCTGTGGCAACATTGGTATGCATTGTGCCAACATCAAATTTATTTCCCACCATAAATGATTTACAGTGAGAATTATAATACTCCCTCCGTCCCATTATATAGTCTGATTTTAGTTTTTCACACGGATTAAAAAAAAAAAGCTTATTTAATGTTATTAAAAATCAATTTCGTAACTTACCCTTATTTATATTTGTCTAATTTCAAGATTAAGTGGAAAAAATTAATTATAAGTTATAACTAGACACATTAAATATAATATATTACTAAATAAACAAAACAAAACATTTTCAATAAGAAAACATGACTATACAATTGAGACAATAAAAAAAAAAAAAAGCCAGTCTATATAAATGAGATGAAGGGAGTATTTTCAATCTAAGCATTTTTTATTGTGCAATAAATGTTTAGGTTGCTCCACCAATGTGCGCTAAAATTGGTCTTTGTTTAATATGAAAATAGGTTAGAATATTTCCTTTTATTATGAACTATTGCGAATATTAGTTGTCATTTTAATAACATTGGTGTTCCTGAAATTAAATGGAAAAATTAAATAGCTAGAAAGAATATATGAAATGTATCGATATTAAGTTATCTATATCCTTGTACAGAAGTTCTTATTGGTGAGATGCCAAGCATAGTTACTAAAATCGATGCCGAACATAGTTATTAAAATCGGATTGATCGATCCGACTTGAAAATCAACTAACCAAATGGTATTCAATCTAGGTTCAATAATTGGTCCTTTAGATCAAGAACCAACTTTACCACTCAGTGGTTCTGAGGAGTTGAAGGAAATCGGGTTCAAAGTAAAATTTTATATTCAATTTGCATTGATCGATACTCAAACTTGCATCCAATATGAAATGTCACAACTAATCATTTGGCACCTTAAAATTATGGTCAACCCCAAATTGAACATTCGACTGGATCAATTCTGATAACTACGTATCATAGTATGATTTTGACTATTATAATTAAAACAAAATTTGAAGGAGCTTATGAAAATTTCTTGACCAAGTCAACTTTTGTTATTAAAAATATTGTACCATATGTATAACATTTTGTACATCTCTCGGAAAAAAGAAAGTACTTTAACTATAATTAACTCCATTCAAAGACCAAAAAGAAAAGGTGATACAGAAAACACCAAAACAAAGAACAACCAATGAAACAGTTGATCTTAGCCGTCAAAATTGATCATCATTTATCGGCTCCTCACAAAGCCGGAAGATCGAGCTCCAGCTCCATTCTACAAACTCTATCAGCCGCTTTCCTCTGTTGCGTTTCTTTCGGCTTGACATTGTTTTTAACTGGCGCTGTTCCTAGAGTCAGCTCCAGTTCCATTTCAGCAACCTCGTCATCATTACTAGCCGGCTCAGGAGTCGGCTGAGCTCTACCGAACAAGTCAGCTTCAGCAGTCTCCCCGGAAACCAAGCTCCCACTCTCCTGACTCTCCTGCCTCTCCCGACTCTCCCTCTCTAAAACAGGCTCGGCTGCCCCAGACTGATGGCTCAAAGAAGACTCATGGCTTGGCGACCTATTGACTTCCTCATGACCCGATTCCTCTCCTGATCCGGCGGCCCACACCCTCTTCGTCTTCGCCCGAACACTCGACCTCTTAAACCTGCATCGGGTCCTGACCCGGTGCAGATCATTAGACCCGGATAAGTTCTCCTCCTTGTTCACATGCCTTATGTCGTAGGCATTCAAAGGCGGCCCATTTTTATTCTCTGACGCAAGATCAGTCGGTATTTGGGTTATCGGATCCCCCCTTAAAACCGCCTCCACCGCATTCTGGCAGAACTGCCAACTCCCGGACCATAGCAACCCGACCGACCCGTAAATCGGGTTCACAATTCTCCCACATGCCTCGTACAGTAATGACCGAAATATAGCTGCATTCAAATAAAATAATTTCGTTAACTATACAAAGTTTAAGCTTTTAAATAAGATGGTTAAAACTTAAAAGAGAGGTAACTACCAGGGCGGAGGTGTTCAGGGCCGGCTTTGATGAGGTTCATGAGGCCGGCGCGGCCGTAAAACTTAGCAAGAAAGACGGTGGCGTTGGCTTGAGAATCAGAGGTTTTGATCCATTGAAGGCAAGGTCTGATGGTACAGTTTTCACTACATCCCTTACGAAGAACCCTACATCCATTACAGCTCATCCGCATTTTCGATTATTTTTACTGAAACAAAAGTGTTTGATGAGAAAATTAGAGCGAGAAATTGGGGCTGGAGATATATGCAGATGATGTATATATATTTGTGTGTTAATAGGAGAGATGCATGTGTTATTGGGGTTTGGGAGTAGAAACTAGGGTCGCAAGACGTGGCGGTTGCCTCGGAGTAGGTGGTGGTGCTTTTGTTTTGAAAATACCAGGTTTCCACATTCATGGAATTGGGGAATGTACCCATGAATTTCATTAAAATATGATGTCAATCCCACAAACCATAATTGCAGCCTATAACGCGTGGCATCAACTTTTAAATATTGAAAATTATAAAATTCTTTAAAATTTATACTTGGTCCTCTAAAATTTGTGTCTTACTTCGGTTTGCAAAACTTTTAGTCTCCATTTATTTCTCATTATTTGCCCATTAAAATGAAAAATATGATCGTTATTCATCACATCAAATCACTATATTTGACTTTCTATTTCTTGTGTAGAGTCCGTAATGACTATATTTTTCATTTTCATTTTTACATTAATGTGTACCAAATGGGACATTACTTCTATTTCGACTTTATGTAGATCAATTTATTCTAAAATTTCTTCTAATTAGATAAAGTACTTTCAAAAAATCGTTCAAATATTTTCAAAACCAACTTCTTAATTCCAAAAACTTTTTTTAGTACTTTAGAAGTCCTGTCGAATGGCACTTTGACATATCCCGAGAAATTAAGTTGTAATTTATTAATTATTCTCTTTGCCGTGGAATGCTACTCACCAGATAGTTATGTTCCAAGGTCCATCAATATTTAACTAATCCGATATCTTGTTTTTAAAATCCAGACAAAATATACATAATACAACAATAAAATGTAATAATGAGTAAAAAAACCTTAACATTATTACTTATAAGTAACAACCCAACTTATAATTGTCCAGGTGATATAAATTTTGTAAGAATAATATTTTTGTAAAATATATAATTAAAAATTATGAATTTACATGCAAAGTTAACGGGAATAAAAACGAATTTTAAAAAGTATAAATATGGGCAAAGTTATAATTCAAGGCCCTGTTTGATCCAATTTTTTCAAAAAATAAAAGTAAAAAATTAAACTGTAATTTGATATTATTTTAATTATATATTCTAATATCATACGCAAATTCAATTTTTTTTTTTATATTATTGCATTTTTTGTAAAAATAATGCAGTTAGAACAAGGGCTAAAGAAGATTTTGAACGAAAAGTCGACAGGTGGCATGCAATGAGCAAGCAATGGGGAAGGGCGCCCATGCAAATATGAACAAAATAAGTTTGTAAGCGCGCGTGAAAGCCACCTGAAGGTGTCAGAGTGCGGTCGAATTGCCACATATTCGGGGAGGTCGAGGGTTGTGGTTCCCACATGCATTAGCTCCTGGTTTTCCGGAATTTCTATGCAACGGAAATCAAAAGGCAAAACCGGGAACCGGTTTCCGGTTTTGGTAGGACTGTGGGCGCCTACAGAACTTTATCTATCTATGGGCCACCAACAGCTCCAATCCAGGAATCCTTATCATGCTTATCCCATAAGCTCGGATTTCATTTTACACAATTTGGGATATTATTATTTTTTATGGTTTTAGGGCATGTTTGGATAAGCTTCATAGGGGTGCTCTTAACTTTTGAGTAAATTTACTCGTAACTGAAAATGTGGGTTTTGGCTTTCAAAAATGTGCATTTTGAAATTAATACTTATTCAGCCCTATTTGATGAGGATTAAAATCAGATTTTTAGTAAATTTTGATAAAAGTTATTGAAATGTGTGGTTGAAAAGTCGTGGATTCCGTAAAACTTATGGTTAAAATTAATTGTTAACTTTGACTTAAATTAAAATTATGAGAGTAATAAAGAAATCTGAATTTTAAGTTGTACCAAACAAGACTCAATTGACAGCAGTAATAAAGAAACCTGAATTTTAATTTGTACCGACGGCGCTCAATTGATGAGAATAATAAAGAAACATTTATTTTTTATTTTTTTCTGTTTCTTATGATGTGACTGGAGCTTTTAAGTATAAATGAATTATTTTATACCGTTCTTTAGAGCTTCAACTTAGCCCCCGTTTGAGCCTCATTATTTCTCATTACGTTAAATTAAATTTTTTCTACTTTAAATCACACAATCTTTAATAAAATAATATTACACGTAAATCAAAAACTTTTCAATCACTCATTTTTCAAAAAAATACTATTTATTTCATTATAGCCCCCGTTTGATCCCCATTAAATTAAATTACATTATATTTCATTTTTTTCTCTCCTATTTTTAACCACACAATCTTCCGTAAAATAATATTACACGTAAATCGAAAACTTTTCCTTCTTTTTCAACCACTCATTTTTCTAAAAAATACTATTCCCTCCATTTTCATTTTCAGGTAATGGGGGTCAAACGGGGGCATAATCTACAAATAATGGGGCTCAAACAGCCCCTTAAATTAGATCAAAACATAATTGGTTCAAGAGAATTCTCTAGGAATATTTAGATAATTATTATGGACACAAAAGAGTTACAACCTCGTTTGTGATACACCAATTATACCCAAGAGAAGACACATAGAATAGCACTTCAACCATACTTATTTGTCCTAACTCCTAGGCAAAAGAAGGACACTTGAATTTCTTTAAAAATCATAAGTATATATTCACAATGAATTAAGAATTATTTTCAACAAACAACTTTTTTTTTTCTTCTAATTAAAAGGTGACATATTTACGATGTTGTGAAAAACGAACAATATCGAGCAGTTCAATTGAAAATCATAAATTGATTTGGTTATAGAGTAAAAATTATTGATCCTACGATTGCCAGCTCAAACCAATCAGTTCACCTATTGAAATTCGTTTCATTTATTTCTTTCTACCATCGGTTCAAATTTTAGATTCTTGATCAGTTTCTTTTCTAAGTTAATATTTAGATCGATTTTTAAAATATTGAATATTTAAAAATGTTTGAAGACAAAAAATTTATCGAAAGGGACTTTACTTTTTTCTTACGCCGTAGCGAAACAAGCTCTTAATATTATAACTTTTTTATATAAAATCTTTTAGTGTTGTTAAACATAATTAATCTTAACAGCTGTTCTAATTTTATTATTTTTATTAATTATAATTAATTTTACAACTTGCTCTAATCTATTAATTCTGTTAATTAATTAGGAGAGGTGCGCTTGATTTGCACAATGAAACAACTAAAATGTGGGCGGTTGTTGAATTGAGACCGTGTTTGCTATATTGGAAACTGGAAAATTAAACGGGTAATGATTTCTTTCCTTCATTTATTCAAAAGACAATTTGATGGGAAGCGAAGTTGATAGGAAAATATTTCAATTATTAAAATTTGGTGAAATTATTCGCCCAAAAAAAGAAATATTTTTGTGATCAAAAAAATAAAATAAATTAAAAAGTTCTTCTTTATTAGAAAATGAACTGGTAAACTTCATTCCAAGTAATAATTTTCAGTTGAACTCATTATTTTCAAGATTCTTTTTACATTTTTAATTTATCAAATTGGATTTCAGATAGATTCTCATATTTTCCGGATGGTTTCAATTCCATTTTTATATTATTGAATGTATTAATCTATGATATTTATACATATTAGGGCCGAACAACGAAATTGTTAAACCGAAAAACTGAACCGAAACCATTGGCTTGATTACACGTGGATCCGTCAATATTTTGGTTTTGAACCGAACCAAACCGCTTCGAAGTTTGATTTAAATTTCAATCTTTGCAAATCGTTTCAAACCGTCAAATCGTTTACCAAAAAAAAATTGCAAATAAATAAGTCTAAATTTTATTTAACCCAATTAAAAGTTAACACATTTAAGTTTTAAAAAATACATCTATATTAGACATAATACAATTAGACTCAATTCAACAATTATATATTTCTATTAATTAATTAATATATCCAAAATACTCACGAGTCATCACGATTATGAATGTAAAACCTTCAAATTGGGTGAAGTGTTGAACAATTGATACTAAACTATACTCATCGATACTCAATTACGATTGAGCAGATAATAAAATTTATATTTTAATTCAAACTTGCACATTTCATTTCATTCTAATAATTTTCTCAAATTTTGCTTAAATTCAAGTCAGATTACCAAAATTCTTTAATTTTTTTGTAATTGTTTTTATACTTTTATTGGTAGTTACATTGTTTTGTTCTAATAATTTGTAGCCTCTCTTAAAATAATTCGCCAATATTTAGATGGAGTAGAAGCTTTGAATAATTCACAAAAAATCATATTAACAAGTTATTATTGTATTTGAATTTTTTAATTCATTTTCTTTTATTAATTATTTTATATCATTTAACTATAATCAATAAATTCATGTACTATATTTTTTATATTTATGAAGAAAATGAATCATGTATAATGAATCATGTATTACAATTGCAGATGTACGCCATTAGTATCGACTAAGAATTTAAAATGCTTATATCATGTTGTTGCATTATAATGATTATAATTATATAACTTCGATTTGTAATTCTTTTTAATAATACAATTTATGTTTTTACCTGAAATTTTAGAATAATATTTATGATTTAACTTATTTGATATATATTAAATTTTTCTTTGTTAAACCATGATTTTAAACCGAACCAAATCGGGAAAAAAAATTGTTTAGATTGGTTTGGTTTCGTTTGGAAAAATTTCAAACCTCTCTAAATGGTTTGATTTGAAAATTTGTTTTAAACCATTCAAATTAAACAGTGTTCACCCCTAATACGTATTAAGAATGTTTAACATGTCCATGTGACTTTTTGAACTTTTCAACTTATATTTAGTGCTTGTTTGTGCCCCATTATTTGCAAATAATGAATGTTGAAATGTGTGATTAAAAAAGAAAGAAATTTTTTTTATTTACGTGTAATATTATTTTAATAAAGAATATGTGGTTGAAAAATGAGTACTGTTGAAAAAATGATATAATAGAATAGTAGACAAACAAAGCCTTAGTTGTAATATATTACTTTACCATATCAATGTAACATAATCATTAAAATAAATTTATGGTACTCGAGATAATAATTCTACATAAGCAATTTATTAAAAGGTGAAGAGCATAACATAATTCTATGGGTTAAGGCGGCGCCACCAGAAATTAATTCTCAAACAACTTCATTTTGAGGTAAAAAAGGTTACATGGAAAGAGACGATTCAAAATTTTGAAAATTTCAAAGATGAAAATTGGTATTTTGTTTGTGATATCGAAAAACATATTAAATTTCTATTAAGTGTTTGAAAGTTGAAACTCTATAAAGTAACAAAAAATTGACACAAAAAGTTGTTAAGAGAAGAACAAATAAAACACAAGTTGTTCTAAACTTTATGCTCGTGGTGATATTCACGATGGTAGTTGAAAATGACAAAAGTTTCGCTAAATTTCACATGCTTTTGCATCGAGTCTAAGCTTTGTATACGTTGAAACACTTGATAGTCTCTATCATATTCCATGTTTTATTGTCGTAGCGTGTTGCTTTCTCTAGAATATTAGACCAATTATATAAGACTGTGTTTGATTAGCTTTATTTTTCAAAAATATTTTCATTTTTCATAGAAAAAATTGTCAATTAGCTTTATTTTAGAATAACTTGGGGGTGTTAATTGACATTTTTTTCTATAAAAAATATTTTTTAATCTTTGGTCACGTGATCATATTTTTCTCAAAAACAAATAAAATATTTTCTTTAAGAAGAAATGTTTTTTATTTTTCAAGTAATTCACTCTCTTATTTATCCACTTTCTCATTTATCCTCCAACATAAAAAATGGATAAATATAATATTTTTTAAGTTGAAAACTTACATTGAATTTGTTCATTAAGAATCATACCAAGAAATTACAAATGATGTTTATGACATTACAAATCTCAACATATTGGGCCGTGTTGAAATTTTGTTCTTACCAACTTTTCAAAATTTTAATATACATAGACGTATTTGGTATAACAAAACTTTACATCACAATTGACAAAATTTTAACTTATTATTATTTTATAAACGCAAGCTAGTTGTCGCCTCCAATGGGGAAGAAGAAGAATGAGACTCTTTCCAACCTCCCTGATCTCACCACCGATCAATTGTCTAAGTTAAGTTGGAATGAGACTCTTTCCAACCTCCCTGATCTCACCACCGATTAATTGTCTATGTTAAGTTGATTACCTTCTCCGCCAAAAAACGGATTCCTTGCTTGGAATTTGAGTTGGAGTTTGTTTTCCATCCCTAATCCTCTTTTTAATTCAATCGACCTTATTTTCAATTTCTAACTCGAAATCTCAATTTTATTTTGTCAAGTACAGGTCGAGTCTTAAAACTAATAATTGATATTCAAAGTAGTCGAAAATGAAATTGTATTATGACACTTCAGAGTTTCTTAACTAAACAATGTAAGACTTTATATATCTCAAGATTTTTCTTTGTACCACTGTTCAAGTGACCCTTCTCAATTCTCAATCAATCTTCGCAATTTCAATCTCTAGATCTAGTTTAACACCTTCATGTTTAGAGTAATTCTTAGAAATGACCAAATGATATTCATTAAAGTCGTTGAGAACGAAACCTAGAATTTATTAATTCGTAAGATTTTATACATATTTACAAGGACGATTGTAATGTTCTTTTATATTATGTAGCATGGATTTGTGTACCGTGAGAATAACACGTCGCCAAGATACTATATGATGGATGCTACTAGATCGTGTGGAAGTTGCCCATGTTCGGGTGCACCGATTCAACCCAAGTGTTGAAAGAGCTCGAGTAAGCCAAGAAGGCATACCCCAAATCCTTCATAAGGATCGTTGAATTCGACAATGGTCGTCAAGAGCAGTTCATCGGTTTCATTGCTTACAAGTCAAAAGACTACTAAATCATGAAGTGGGTGGGTTCAAATTGTTTTTTGAATTTCAACCAAGGTTCATCAAGACTTAGCCCCCGTTTGGTAGGGATTAAAATTAGATTTTTAGTAGATTTTATAAAAGTTTTGAAATATATAGTTGAAAAGTTGTGAGACCCATAAAAGATGTGGTTAATATTGATTGTTTGACTTTAATTTGAATTAAAATCTGATTTGAATCAATATCAAACAGGGGCTTAATTTCCCTTGCAATGCAATTTTATTATTATTATTATTTTTTTTTTCCTTTCATTTTCATTGTACGAGATATTAAAATATATGTTTCTTCTCCTCTATTCATCACTTTTTATCACATCTTTAGTAGATTTATGGGTGTCAAAAAGTATCGGGTTATGCGACAAGCTTTAGTCACGACTTGTACATGATATCGGGCCACATGACAAACTTTAGACATGGTCCAACCTGTTATGGCCAGTGCTGTAGGCCAGGCTTGCCCTACAATCATGATGTGTTGGATCCAATTGTAGGACATGAGGTCCAAGCAATTTTGACATGCCAAGTCACCTCAAAAATAGGTTCGTTGTTAATGACATCCAAATTTATATCTAATAACGTTAACGATTAGGGATGGTACAAAAATTCGTCAAATTTGATACTCGTGGGGCTCACCTCGAATGGGGTGAGAATTACCCTCTTAATCGAGTATTCGGGTGTCGGGTCGAGTACCTACCTTGTTTAATTTATTTTATTTTATTTTAAGAATTCAATACTTTAAATGAAAAATTTTACTAAATTTCATTAATTCTAATAGGAAATAACAACTAAGATTATTTAAAAAATATGATAAACAATAAAAACCTTAGTTTATCAAATATATTTGAATAATTTAACTTTTAAAAATAAATAAATTAATTAAAAAAATTTAATAACTATATTATTATCTTACTTTAATGAACAAGGGAAATTAAATGAATTAACAAGAATATAAAATAAACGGATACGTAAACGGGGACAAGATCCCGCCCCGCTTGACCCCGAACCCTCCTTAAACGGGACGGGAAATTGCGTGACGAGGCTCCCCCCGGGCCCCGTTACCATACCTATTAACGAATAAGACACAACACTTACCTTGACCTCTCATTGCTTAGCAACATTGACTTCAATTCTCATTGTTGGCAAGAGTTTTGGCCACTCTTAACTTTACCCCGACTACAATCACTATCACCTTGGCTATGACCACAATCTTGATTGTGACTATCCTCTCCGTCGAAAGCTTTATCGTTCTTTTCCTTTTGTCTCCAAGGATAACTCCGTTTAAAAAACTTGTTTAAAGATTTCATTAATTTATTAGATTCGTACTCTGAAACTGTGAATGCACAAAATAAATCCATTGTAAGAAGAAAAAGGCATTAAATAACACAAACAATTTAAAATTTATTCCTAGTAAAGAGACGTGCAAGTTTATCTCTTATTCTTGCATGATTTAATTTTCAATCAATTTCAATATATAAGTATAGCGTAAACAACAACTTGTTGCTGTGGTGTAGCGGTTATCACGTCAGTCTTACACACTGAAGGTCCCCAGTTCGATCCTGGGCAGTAACATTTTTCCCTTTTTTTTTTTTGGCACCCCATTATTCGAAATTACATGGTGAACTTGGAAGATTGAACATGTGATGTTTAGTGGGAAATATTAAAACGAATTAAACAAAATAATAAATAAATTTTCAAATTTTCTATTATCACTAATTTTCTACTATCTATTTTATTAAACAAGTCATCTGACAATATTTTAAGAATTATTAAAGATCATGAACTAATTTTTTCCTTATTAAACGAATAAAAAGGATGAAAATGCAAGATTTCTTCCTTGAGTTCTTCACCAAATCCCTGAAAAACTCTCCTTCACAACCTTGTAAGCTTAAGCGTTTCTTGAGAAGATGCAGCACCACAATTTTTAAAGAAAATAGCATGCTTCTTTGATACCATGGCTCCTCCAATTTTATACCCCTTTAATTGGAGTGTGAGCAATCCCAAACTCAAGTGTAAGCAATCGTCAATCATCCCAAACACTGTTGCCACCGCTAATGAGAAATTGAAAGAAATGATTTTTATCCTTTTTTT